TTTGCATCCTGCAAATGATCTAGCAGTTTACAAAAGCCAAGGTTAGCAGTCATTGTGAGGAGAATGGAAACAGTTTAGTTCTTTATAAAAATGGCATTGTACAGGTTCTAACTCTAGGCCGGCTATATCACATTAGTATGGTGTATTTGTCACAATGAAAGAGTGGATATTGACATATGACCTTAAGGTCCACACTTAGATTTCTTTAGTTTTTACCTGTGTCCTTTTTCTGTCCCACGATCCTATCCAGGATGATACCACATGACATTTAGTCACTGTGTCTCCTTGGGTTCCTCTAGACTATGACAGTTTCTTTAGATTTTTCTTGTTTTTGTTGACTGAGCATTTGAGGAGTACTAGTCGAGTATTTTGTAAAACATCTTTCTGTTGAAATTTTGTGGGTTTTTTTTTTTTTATGGTGAGACCGAGGTTTGAGGTTTTGGGGAGGAAGACATAGACATAAAGTGCCATTTTTCATCACATACTATCGAGGATACATGCTATCAACATGATTTATCAGTGTTGATGTTGACCTCAGTCACCTGGCTGAGATTGTTGATCAGGTTTCTCTACCGTAAAGTTACTCTTTTCCCCCTTTCCATACTGGGCTCTTTAGAAGACAGTCCCTATGTAGAGCCCACACTTATGGGGTGGAAAATTCTTTTAATTCTGCATGGGAGATTTGTCTTTCCTCCTCTATTTATTAATTCAGTAATTTGTCAATATCAGTATGCACTCAGGGATCTTATTTTATACCTTGGGTTATAATCTAATACGTCCTTGTGAATTTGTTCCAGTGTGGCCATTGGTAATTCTAAGTTGCCCACTGTGTCCCTTTGACATACTTATATCAACATAGGGCTTGGTTTTGTTTTGAGCACTTCCTAATTCTTTGTCATTTCAAGATGTTTCAGGTTCTTCATCTTGCATCCAGTCCCAGAATCAGCCTTTTCCCCCAAGGAAACTTGGTTCCCTTTATTGGGTAATGTATAAGAAACCAGTATCTGGGGCTAGGTATGTTCATTTCTACTGGAGTTATGATACATTTTCAAAACTGCCTTTCGAAGATAACTTTATCAGTACTGTGGATTTCTGCTCCGTATGACTCTAATCTCTGAATAATTGAGTGTCCAGAAAGCTTTGGCATTTCATTAAGCAACCTGTTCCTTGTAATACAGCTTAGACTTCTAGGTTAATCAGTTGTAGTGTGGTTTAAAATGTAAAGCGCCTGGCTTTGAGTTTCCAGTAATTCAAATAAAGTAAAAAGATCCAGCCTGCATGCAGTGGCTCAAGCCTGTAATCCCTGCACTTTTTTTTTTATTTTTTTATTTTTTTGAGACGGAGTTTTGCTCTTGCTACCCAGGCTGGAGTGCAATGGCGCGATCTCGGCTCACCGCAACCTCCACCTCCTGGGTTCAGGCAGTTCTCCTGCCTCAGCCTCCTGAGTAGCTGGGATTACAGGCACGCGCCACTATGCCCAGCTAATTTTTTGTATTTTTAGTAGAGACAGGATTTCACCATGTTGGCCAGGATGGTCTCGATCTCTTGACCTCGTGATCCACCCACCTCGGCCTCCCAAAGTGCTGGGATTACAGGCGCAAGCCACCTCGCCCGGCCTAATCCCTGCACTTTGGGAGGTGGAGGCAGGAGTATCACTTGAGGCTAGGAGTTTGAGACCAGTTTAGGCAACAAAGCAAGACCCTGTTTCTAAAATATAAATAAATGAATAAAAATTAAAAATTAGGTGGCTGGATGCAGTGGCTCACACCTATAATTTCAGCACTTTGGGAAGCTGAGAGGGAGTTGGATCATCTGAGGTCAGGAGTTCGAGACCAGCCTGGCCAACATGGTGAGACCCCATCTTTACTAAAAATATAAAAAATCAGTTGGGTATTACAGGCATGTGCCTGTAATCCCAGCTACTCAAGAGGCTGGGGCAGGAGAATTGCTTGAACCCAGGAGGCAGAGGTTGCAGTAAGCCACGATTGTGCCATTACACTCCAGCCGGGGCAACAAGAGTGGAAACTCCATCTCCAAAAAAGAAAAGCCAGGTGTGGTGGTACATGCCAGTAGTACTAGCTACTTGGGAGGCTGAGGCAGGAGGATTGCTTGAGCCCAGGAGGTTAATGCTGCAGTGAGCCATGAATGTGCCACTGTACTCCAGCTTGGGTGACAAAATGAGACCCTGTCTCAAAAAAGAAAAAAAAGTAAGAGGCTCTAACAATGTGAATTGGATATGAGCTTAAATTATGGATGCTTGGTCCTTTCTTTTTCTTTTCTTTAAAGAGGGAGTCTTGCCCTGTCACCCAGGCTGGAGTGCAATGGCCAATCTGATCTTGGCTCACTGCAACCTTCGCCTCCTGGGTTCAAGTGGTTCTCCTGCCTCTGCCTCTTGAGTAGCTGGGATTACAGGCGTATGCCATACATGGCTAATTTTTGTATTTTTAATAGAGACAGGGTTTCACCATGTTGGCCAGGCTGGTCTCGAACTCCTGACCTCAGGTGATCTGCCCAACTCGGCCTCCCAAAGTGCTGGGATTATAGGCGTGAGACACAGCACCTGGCCTTTGGTCATTTATTTCTAAGCACTAACACAAAGGCCTTTTTTTGTCCTCCAAGGAAAAATTTAATATATAATAAAGATAAAAGAATGTGTAGTTATGGGAAGGAAAATACAGAGAATCGGAAAAAATGTATAGTTAAAAGGTAATACATTTACAAGGTTTGAAAGCAAGGCTGGGTACGGTGGCTCACACCTGTAATCTCAGCACTTTGGGAGGCCAAGGTGGGAGGATCACAAGGTCAGGAGTTTGAGACCAGCCTTGCCAAGAAGGTAAAACCTCATCTGTATTAAAAACAAAAAAATTAGCCAGGTGTGGTGGCGGGAGCCTGTAATCCAAGCTATTTGGGAGGCTGAGGCAGAAGAATAGCTTGAACCCGGGAAGGCAGAGGTTGCAGTGAGCCAAGATCGCACCACTGCACTCCATCCTGGGCAACAAGAGTGAGACTCCATCTCAAAAAACACAAAGTAAAAGTAGGCTGACATGGTGGCTTACACCTGTAATCCCAGAACTTCAGTAGGCTGAGGCAGGCAGATCACTTGAGCCCTGGACTTTGAGACCAGCCTGGGCAACATGGTGAAGCCCTGTCTCTATAAAAACTACCAAAATTAGCCAGATGTGGTGGCAGGTGCCTGTTGTCCCAGCTACCCAGGAGGCTGAGATCATCTGAGCCTGGGAAGGTCAAGACTGCAGTGAGTCATGATCATGCTACTATACGCCTGCCTGAGGGACAGAGTAAGAACCTGTCTCAGGAAAAAAAAAGTATAAGTAAAATTCAGAAAGATATATATGAGGCTGGACATGGTGGCTCATGCCTGTGATCTCAGCACTTTGGGAGACCAGGGTGGGTGGATCACTTGAGGTCAGGAGTTTGAAACCAGCCTGGCCAACATAGTGAAATCCAGTCTCTACTGAAAATACAAAAAAATTAGCTGGGCGGGTGGGCGTGATGGCTCATTCCTGTAATCCCAGCACTTTGGGAGGCCGAGGCAGGTGGACCATGAGGTCAGGAGATCGAGACCATCCTGGCCAACATGGTAAAAACCCATCTCTACTAAAATACAAAAAATTATCCAGGTGTGGTGGCACATACCTGTAGTCCCAGCTACTTGGGAGGCTGAGGCAGGGGAATTGCTTGAACTCAGGAGGCAGAGATTGCAGTGAGCTGAGATCAGGCCACTGCACTCCACCTTGGCAACAGAGCGAGACTCCATCTCAAAAGAAAAAAACTGGCTGGGCATGGTGGCACATGCCTGTAATCCCAGCTACTCAGCAGGCTGGGGCAGGAGGATCACTAGAACCCACAAGGCGAAGGTTGCAGTGAGCTGAGATTGTATCACTGCACGCCAGCCTGGGAAACAGAGCAAGAGACTCTGCCTCGAAAAAAAAAACAAAAACATGGAGAAGTCAAACAAGTTTCCATCCGACCTTTCTTTAGCATCTACTTCAGGCAACTATTTGAATCAGTTTCTTGTATTTCTAGTTTTTTTTAAATAGAACTATATTTTCTTTCCCTTCTTACATATAAAGCGGCATCATAGAAATTACAGTACTAATTGGTTTTTTCAGGTAATAACTGGTTATAGAACTATAATATTCTTGCTTTGGAAGGAGCCTTATATTTTAATCCATTTGCTATGGTTTGAATGTTTGTCCTCTCTGGGATTCATGTTTAAATTTAATCCCCAATGTGGCAGTATTGGGAGGTGGAGCCTTTAAGAGCTGACTGGGTCATGAGGGCTCTGCCATGGATTAATCCATGGATGAATGGGTTATTATGGGTGTGGGACTGGTAGCTTTATAAGAGGAAGAGAGAGACGTGAGTTTAGCAATCTCGGCCTCCTTGCCATGTGATGCTGCCTTGGGATTCTTCAGCAAGAAAACCCTCACCAGATATGGCCCCTTGACTTTGGACTTCTCAGCCTCCATAACTGTAAGAAATAAATTCCTTTTCTTTATAAGGTACCCAGTATCATCTATTCTGTTATAAGCAACAGAAAATGGACTAAGATATCATTTACTCAAAAAGCTTTTATTGTGCCCCTGTGTGCCAGGTGAATGGTAAGTCAGCACCGGAAGGCTGGTGAACTTCCTATTCTCAAGGAGCTCATGGTCTGGTGAGAAATTCCTTCAGCAGAATTGCTACTTTATCCCTGTGCAGCCTCAGCTGAAATAGAAAATGGGCGTGTTCACCACTTTCAGAGATTGTTTTATTTACTGTGCAGTTTGTTTTTGTTTTCCTAATGATGATGAGCTGAAATGTTCCTCTTTGTAACTTGTATTTTTTCTGGCTTAGACTTTAATATCATGAAATGATGAGATCATTTCTTATGTTACTTTGATTTTAGTAATTCACATGCTAGACTTGGATCACCAGTTTTCTTTCATTCTCCAGGTAAGAGCTACACCCACACCCATTTGACTAATGATGTTCTTTAGGGTTTGAGTGATGAGCTCGTCCTTGTGGATGATGATGAAGGCAAACTGAAGGGTGAGACAATGGATCTTCAACACGGCGGCCCCTTTGTAAAAATGCCGAAAATTGTCTCCAGCAAAGGTTAATGTCATAGTTAAATACTATAAATCTTCTAATATACATGAACTCTAAGAAAATCATCTTTATTTCCTTTGACCTCCCCAGTTTTTATATGCAAGGCTGGTTGCTCCCTACTCTGTCCTCTCATAACATGTTCAGATTCCGTAGGTTGTACTTTATTTGCAAGGTTTCCCACAATAGCGGACTAAGTTCCTTGTGAGCAGCAGCAATAGCAGTTAAGACAGCTATACAAATTGACTGCCTACTGTGTGTGTCATCGACCTAAGCACTTTATTATTTAATCCTGAGCACAACTCTGTATTTTAGAGATGATGGACCTCTGAGCTAAGGTTAAATAAAAGTGATGGAATAGGGATGTGAACCCTGTGCTGTTTGATTCCGAAGCCTAAGCTCTTCACTACTGCACTTTATTCACCTGGGAGATTTTTGAAAAAACGAATGAACCAACATCTCCCTATTCGAGGGTTTGTTCACATATCTGTCTCTAAATATTCTTGCCAGACTAATCCATATTTTGACCTCTTAGTCTAAATAGTAGGAGGTGTTTTGTTTTTTTTTTTGAGACATGGACTTCAGGGCTCAAGCGATCCTCTTGGTCTTGGCCTAGAAGTAACTGGGACTACAGGTGTGCGCTACTGCACCCAACTTAGGAGGTTTTTGTGTTTGGAAATGGAGTCTCGCTGTCACCCAGGCTGGAGTGTCATGGTATGATCTTCGCTCACTGCAACCTCTGCCTCCGGGTTCAAGTGATTTTCTTGCCTCAGCCTCCTGAGTAGCTGGGACTACAGATGCCCACCACTGTGCCTGGCTAAATTTTGCACTTTTAGTAGAGATGGGGTTTCACCATGTTGACCAGGCTGGTCTTGAACTCCTGGCCTCAAATGATCCACCTGCCTCGGCCTCCCAAGTGTTGGGATTACAGATGTGAGCCACAGAGCCTGTCTTAGGCTTTAATTTTAAAAAAATGTACAAGGGAAAGTTAGTACTAATTTCCTGAAATTAAGAAGTAGTCTGGGCATTCTAGAATATTGAAGGGAACTCTTCGGTAGACATAGCGTGGTGACTGAAGTAAACAGGAAGTATACTTAAATGTCCGGTGTTTTCTTTCATAATCTCTTTTTTCTTCGAATCTTTCCCCAGATTACCTGGTCACTGCAAACTCCAATCTAGTAATTATCACGGCAGGTGCACGCCAGAAAAAAGGAGAAACACGCCTTGATTTAGTCCAGCGAAATGTGTCCATCTTTAAATTAATAATTCCCAGTATTACCCAGTACAGTCCTCACTGCAAACTGCTTATTGTTACTAATCCAGGTCAGCTTTGCTGTTTTTAATTTTTCAGCTTTTAGAATCGGGGGTACATCGTGTTAGGTTCATTATGTGGTTATTTTGCGTGATGCGAAAGTTTGGGGTAAGATTAACCCCAGGGAGTGAGCATAGTACTTAGTAGTTTCCAGCCCTTGCCGCCCTTACTCCCGCCCTGTCTAGCAGTCTCCAGTGTCAGTCGTTCCCATCTTTATGTCTGTGTGCACCCACATGTTTAGCTCCCACTTACAGGTGAGAACAATGTGGTATTTGGTTTTCTTTTCTTTTTTTCTTTCCTTTTTTTTTTTTTTTTTTTTTTTGAGACGGAGTTTCGCTCTTGTTTACCCAGGCTGGAGTGCAATGGCACAATCTCGGCTCACCGCAACCTCCGACCCCTGGGTTCAGGCAATTCTCCTGCGTCAGCCTCCTGAGTAGCTGGGCTACAGGTGTATGCCACCATGCCCAGCTAATTTTGTTTTGTATTTTTAGTAGAGACGGGTTTCACCATGTTGACCAGGATGGTCTCGATCTCTTGACTTCGTGATCCACCCGCCTTGGCCTCCCAAAGTGCTGGGATTACAGGCGTGAGCCACCGCACCTGGCCTGGTATTTGGTTTTCTGTTCCTGTACTGATTAACTTAGAACAGTAGCCTCCAGCTGCATCCACATTGCTGCAAAGAGGTGCTTTTGTTTCTTTATGGCTGCATAGCTCAGCTTTGTTTTCACTGTTGAGTGTAGGAGTTTTTGGGGGTGGGTTTAGTAACTTTGAAGAGAAAAATAATTTAATGAGTATTAAATCATAAACTACCAATGTAATTCCAGAATCTTTCTGTTTTGTTAGTGAAGTATGTACTTTGCACAGTTGTAATCAGTATATATACTATAATCACTTAAAAAAAAAATACTAGTGTGAGGCGAGGTGCAGTGGCTCATGCCCATAATCCCAGCCCTTTGGGAGCCCAAGGTGGTGAAGCGCTTGAATTCAGGAGTTTGAGACCAGCCTGGGCAACATGACAAAACTCCATCTCTACAAAAAATGCAAAAATTTTCAGGACACGGTGGCGCGCACCTGTAGTCCTAGCTACTCAGGAGGCTGAGGTGGGAGGATTGCTTTAGCCAGAGAGGTCAAGGCTGCACTCCAGCCCGGGTGACAGAGTGAGACGCCGTCTCAAAAAAACAAAAATATATAAATATATATAAAAATATATATGTAAATATATACATAGTGGTGTGTATGGGAAGATACTATGCTTAATCATATGACTTCAAGGTTTACATGCTAACGGCTGAGGTTTGTTTTCCAAATTACTGTTTGCGAAGTGAAAATAGTGCTATTGTTTACTGCCCGACTCCAAAATTGTACTAGACTCCTCACTGGTGCAGGTACAAGGTGGACCAACTCAAGATAGACTTTGGAGAGAAAGTGTACAGGACTGCTGATAGATTATGTGTAGTGAGGGAAAGGGAGGAATAAAAAACAACTTCTAGATTTTTCCTTTGAGTAACTGAATAGATGGTAGTTCCATTTAACTGGGTTGGTAAATTTACTGATCAGGTGGGAGTCAGGGAAGTAGGAGGGGATGTTACATATAGAGGAGAAAAATCAAGATATTTGAAAAAGTACTCAAGAGGAAATGTTAAACAGCTAGCGATTATGAGTCTGGAGCATAGTAGTTTAGGGATATTGAAACCACCGTATTCTGAAATCATTTGGAACAGTTTTTCTCTGTGCAGACCAAAACTGAGTGAGTGCATGATTGTTTTTTTTTTTTGGGGGGGGGGCAAAGGAAGGCAGGAAGGGAGGGAAGAAGGACGGTAGGGAGGAAGGAAGGGATGAAGGAAGGAAGGAAGGGAGGAAGCAGGGAGGGAGGGAAGAAGGACGGTAGGGAGGAAGGAAGGGATGAAGGAAGGAAGAAGGGAGGAAGCGGGGAGGGAGGGAGGGAAGGGAAGGAAGGAAATCAAGCAATGAGAGACATTGCCGACCTGGATCTAGAGGTTTACAAGTTGATTTCTTTTTTTTTTTGAGAGAAGGATAGAAAAAAAAAATAAGTAAAGGAGAGGAAGAAAGAGGAAGAGAAAGAGGGAGAGTAAATGGAAATATTGCTTTATTTTGAAAAAAATTGAGTATTAATAATGGCCAATCAATGTTTCATTTAAACTTATGGGTAGGTGTGATGTGGTATTGACAAGAATGTATATTTTGTGTATTTGAAGTGGAGAGCTCTATAAATATTTATTAAGTTTACTTGTTCCGGATCTGAGTTCGAGTCCTTGATATCCTTATTAATTTTCTGTCTCATTGAATCTAAGTCTCGTATCTGGGTGTTAGGATCGTTAGCTCTTGTTGTTGCATTGATCCTTTTACCACTATATCTTTGTTGCTTTCAAATCTATTTTCTCCGATACGAGAATTGCAACTCCTGCTTTTTATTTATTTATTATTTATTTTTGCTCTCCTGCATGATTGTTTATTCATTTCAGTTTTGATGCTGAGGAACTGCTATTGAAATTTTGTTTCACAGTTTTATAAAATATTCACATGGCTCCAACATCAAATCGAGAACAGTAATGATTCAAAGTGGTCCAGGTTCCTTCCTTGTGCCCTTTCCCTGTAGCCTCCATCCCTTTATAGGTAACCATTTACGTTTTTTATGGTTTACAGCTTTTTGTTACTACATAAATTTTTCTCCCTCTTCTTTCATGTTTAACTTATGAAGCTCAATCCATAGTAGAATTTATAAATATGTTGATTACTGTGTCTTCACGGTAAGTTTTAAAATCGGGATGTGTTAAGTCCTCTGAATGGTCTTTAAGATTATCTTGGGACAAGCGTGGTGGCTCATGCTTGTTATCCCAGGACTTTGGGAGGCGGAAACAGGTAGATCACCTGAGGTCAGGAATTTGAGACCAGCCCGGCCAACATGGCGAAACCCTGTCTTTACTAAAATACAAAAATTAAGTGGGCAAGGTGGTGCACACCTGTGATCCTAGCTACTTCGGAGGCTGAGGCAGGATTATTGCTTGAACTTGGAAGGCAGAGGCTGCAGTGAGCTGAGATTGTGCTACTGCACTCCAGCCTGGATGACAGGGCAAGACTCTGTCTCAAAAAAAAATTTATTTTGGCTTGTCTGGATCCTTAGCATTTCCATATAATTTATGCATCAGCTTGTCAATTTCTGAAATAAAACCAGCAAGGATTTTGATAGGGATTGGGGTGATTTATTTTGGTTCTTTTGTATTTGATAAGTTGTTTTTCTCTTGCTATTTCCAGTATTTTCTCTTTGGCTGTGAACAATTTGACCATGATGTGTCTATGTGTGAATTTCTTTAAGTTTATACCACTTGGAATTAATTGAGCTTCTTGGATGTATAGATTTTTTTTTTGAGATGGAGTCTTGCTCTGTCGCCCAGATTGGAGTGCAGTGGTGTGATCTCGGCTCATTGCAACCTCTGCCTCCCAAGTTCAAGCAATTCTCCTGCTTTAGCCTCCCAAGTAGCCGGGATTATGGGCACTCACCACCACTCCCAGCTAATTGTTGGTATTTTTAGGAGAGACAGGGTTGCACGATGTTGGTCAGGCTGGTCTTGAACTCCTGACCTGAAGTGATCCACCCACCTCAGCCTTCCAAAGTGTCGGGATTACAGGTGTGAGCCAGTGTGCCTGGTTTGGATGTATAGATTAATGTTTTTCTATTTGGGAAGTTTCAGCTGTTATTTCTTGGAATAATTTTTCTGCTCCTCTGTCCCCTCCTTCTCGTGCTATCATACATGCATATTGGTGTGCTTAATGGTGTCCCACAAGTTTGAGGCTCTGTTTTTTCTTTTTAAAAATAGTTTGTAGATTATCTAAAGTTCCCTTTTCATGGTATGAGATATTTATTTGTATATTTAACTGGATGCATATCTTTAGCTTTCACATAAATGTTCTTTAATACAGGCTTTTGGTATAAGCATTTGTGCTTTTCAAGAGTTTAATTCTTTAACCAAAAAAAATACCAAATCCCAAATTCAGAAATGGTAGTCTGACCCAACAAGGAAGCACACTGAGAATAACAAGCTGATGATACATTATCATATTGTATAATAGTACTTGATTTTATTTTGTTTTGAGACAGAGCCTCACCCTGTTGCCCAGGCTGTAGTGCAGTGGAATGATCTCCGCTCACTGCAATCTCCGCCTCCTGGGTTAAAGCAATTGTCCTGTCACAGCCTCCTGAGTAGCTGGGACTACAGGCGTGTGCCACCATGCCCAGCTAATGTTTCCGAATTTTTAGGAGAGATGGGGTTCACCATGTTGGCCAGGATGGTCTCGATCTCTTGACCCTCATGATCTACCCGCCTTGGCCTCCCAAAATGCTGGGATTACAGGCATGAGCCACTGCGCCTGGCCATATTTTATATTTTCTAACACACTTTCCAGTAAGTTTTTCCACATCCTGAAATCTCATGGTATCATTTTTGAAATGACAGCTGTGGAGAGATTCTGACATGACTGAGAATTGTGAAGTACCTGATGGAGCTCCGTCATTAATTTCTCTAACCACTCAGGGCACTGAAGTCTGTGGGGACAGTTAAGTTGACATTTAGTGTTTGTGTTAAATGAATCCCCAACCTGCTTTAATTTGCACCAAAAAGCCTTCACCCTCAAAGTACGTCACTAAGGTGGTGTATTTATGTTTATCATATAACCTTTCCTAAGGTTACATTAGCAAGAGATGCTTCCCTATGCATTATGGCAGAAGTCTGTTAAAGAATATCCATTGACTAATATTTCTAATAAGCACATTCAGAGGATTTTTTCTGCATTTTATATACTGGCTTTTTGTCATTAAGAGCAGTAAAAAATGAGGAAAAATAATCCTAATCTCAATCTCATATACAGTTTAGTTCTGTATTTGCTTGACAGTGCACATAAAGTTATAGTACATGCTATCAAATAGATCCTCCGTATCTATTTAAAATACTTTTTCTGAAACTAGAAACGTGAAGAAAGTCTTCTCCATTATTTTAGCGAGTCTGTTAAGATGGTTCACTAGGAACCATCTTTAAAATTTCAGTAAGGTGCTTCAAAAGTTGAGAAATAACTTCGTTACTCTTCTGATACAAAAAAAAACCTGATAACTTTGAATTAATATTATTAAGCTACCAAATGTTGATATCACTCAGGAAAGATTTTTTTCCCCTGAGTGATATTTATTTTTTGAGACGGTCTGTCACCCAGGCTGGAGTGCAGTGGAGCAATCTCTGTCTTCCAGGTTCAAGCAATTCTCATGCCTCAGCTTCCCGACTAGCTAGGATTACAGGCACGTGCCACCACACCTGGCTAATTTTCATATTTTTAGTACCGATGGTGTTTTACCATGTTGGTCAGGCTGGTCTTGAACTGGCGTCAAGTGATCTGCCTGCCTTGGCCTCCCAAAATCCTGGTATTACAGACACGCACGGCCACATCTGGCCAGGTTTTTTTTAAATAAAAAATTGCATCCAGATCTTAGTTCAGTTATAAATAACATTGACATTATTTTAAAATAGCATTTTAGGTTACTATTGTGGAAATGTGGGACTCAAGACATGACAAATACTAGGTATTAATTTCAAAACTATTCAGAATGAGGCTGGTCATGATGGTTCCTGTCTGCAATCCCAGCACTTTGGGAGGCTGAGGCGGGAGGATTGCTTGAGCAATTTTGCCCAGGAGTTCAAGACCAGCCTGGGCAAAATGGTGAAACCCTGTCTCTACTTAAGAAAAAAAAAATTCAAAAAGAAATCTACCCAAATGGCTTGAGATCGTTCCATTATTGATTTATGAGTATTAAAGAATGTTTATGGCTGGGCGTGGTGGCTCAAGCCTGTAATCCCAGCACTTTGGGAGGCTGAGGTGGGAGGATTGCTTGAGCAATTTTGCCCAGGAGTTCAAGACCAGCCTGGTCAACATGGTGAAACCCCGTCTCTACTAAAAACACAAAAAATTAGCTGGGCACGGTGGCGCGTGCCTGTAATCCCAGCTACTCAGGAGGCTGAGGCAGGAGAACTGCCTGAACCCAGGAGGCGGAGGTTGTGGTGAGCCAAGATCACCCCATTGCACTCCAGCCTGGGTAACAAGAGCGAAACTCTGTCTCAAAAAAAAAAAAAAGAATGTTTACAAATTAAAAAGTTCTAATTTACATGAACTAAATGACCAAATAGAAGTGAAAAATGGAAAATTTAGAGGGCATATGGTAAGGGAGGGGATGTAAAATAATACAGGAAGAGAACTGAAACAAGTGAAGATCAAAGATTCAGAAAAAGTTGAACCTTTCCTTCAACTCCATAGTCATTTACCTAGGAAATGCAGTTGGCACCCCACGATATAGCTGAGTTACTTGCTCTGTTTTCAGTTTACCAATTCAAACAGGCCACATTCTCAGTTCCAGACCCAGGGACTGACGGAGGGACCTCCAAGCCCCTTGCGTTTCAGTGGCAGTTGACAAACGTTTTTTTTTTTTTTTCCCTTTTTGTGTAGAACAGGGTCTTGCTATATTGTCCAGGCAGGTATCGATCTCCTGGGTTGAAGCTGTCCTCCCACTTCTGCTTCCCTAGGAGCTGGGATTACAGGCGTGAGCCACAGCGCCCAGCCTTTACGAACCTCTTAAGACCCAGCATGATTAATTGTTTTTCACTTGATAGCTTTATGTGTGAGGAAACTTAGGCATTTCTACACATACTTCTGGCCATCTCGGGTATTAGAATGAAGGCTTACCATTTTAAATTGTGGTATGATCAAACTGTTTCAGTATCATTTTTTTTTTTGAGATGGAGTCTCAGTCTGTTGACAGGCCAGAGTGCAGTGGCATGATCTAGGCTTACTGTAACCTCTGCATCCTGGATTCCAGCGATTCTCCTGCCTCAGCCTCCCGAGTAGCTGGGCTACAGGTGTGTGCCACCATGCCCAGCTAATTTTGTTTTGTATTTTTGGTAGAGAAGGGGTTTCAACACGTTGGCCAGGATGGTCTTGATCTCTTGACCTCGTGATCCACCTGCCTCTGCCTCCCAAAGTGCTGGAATTACAGGCATTAGCCATGGCGCCCAGCCTCACTTCTTACCATTAATGAGTATTAAAAAGGGAACAGAAGCTCTAACTTTGTTAATAGAAATACTACATATTTAGAAAACACCATGTTCTAGACGACGAAAGACATCATCTTCATATCTTTTTAAAGTGTCTAGTTTCTACTACTTAAGTGAATACTTAAATCTGCCATAAAAACATGACCGAGGCTGGAATGCAGTGGTACGATCTCGGCTCACTGCAACCTCCACCTCCTGGGTTCAAGCGATTCTCCTGCCTCTGCCTCCCGAGTAGCTGGGACTACAGATGTGTGCCACCATGCCCAGCTAATTTTTTCTATTTTTAGTAGAGATGGGGTTTCACCATGTTGGCCAGGATGGTCTCAATCTCCTGACCTGGTGATCCACCCGCCTCAACCTCCCAAAGTGCTGGGATTACAGGCATAAGCCACTGTGCCTGGCCTTGAGGCTACACTATTATGTATAAATTTATGGTTTTATAAATATTGTTGCACTATTTTAATATTATGTATCTCTTATACATTAATGAGAATTATATAGATAACACATTATATATTCTCATTAATGTATAAGATATATAAAACATATTATCTCCCCATTAGTGTGTAATATACATTATATACAATTATATACTAATGTTTAACTGACACTAAAATATCAGACTGTGTCAAAAATTTATCCCTTCCCTAATGGGATGAAAGCCCGATTATGTTTCCCTGCCAATTCTTTTTAATTTTTTTTTTTTTTTTAAGAGACAGAGTTGGTCTTGTTCTTGCTGTTGCCCAGGCTGGAGTGCAGTGGTGCAGTTGTAGCTCACTGCAGCTTTGATCTCCTGAGCTGATGTGTTCCACCTGCCTCAGCCTCCCAAGTAGCTGGGACAACAGGCACATGGCACCACACCTGGGTAACTTTTTCCTTTTGGAGGCACAGTTTTGCTATATTGCCTAGGCTGGTCTCAAATGATTGCTGGCCTTAAGGAATCCTTCCTGCCTCCCATGGAGCTGGGGTTTACACTTGTTTTTTCGTTTCCCTCTTAACTTTTGTTGAAAATGGTTTATTCTCTGAGAAAAATTATTTGAAAGATGTGGTAAGAGCATGTTTCTTAGAATCTTCCGTGGCGTGAACCTTCTGTGTTTCTGCACACCAAGCTATGCCAAGTAGCAACAAAAAGGTTTTTCATTACTTCTATTTGGTAGATATTTTTAGAGTTGGGGTACAGCTGGGGTTGGATAGAGAACCATGTTTCTTGCCCTCTCCACGAAACATCAGATTGACTAGTTTTAGGTAAATCTAAAAAATGCCTCCTTGTAGATGAGAACATTTCTTGATAAGAACTTGTTCTTCTTAGTGGATATTTTAACTTACGTGGCCTGGAAATTGAGTGCATTTCCCAAAAACCGTGTTATTGGAAGTGGCTGTAATCTGGACTCCGCTCGTTTTCGTTACTTTATTGGGCAAAGGCTTGGCATCCACTCTGAAAGCTGTCATGGGCTGGTCCTTGGAGAGCATGGTAACTCAAGTGGTAAGCCTGAAGCATGACTGAGCCCTGCATGCTCTCTGAAGTCCGTATTTCCTATCATATAGACATTTAGTGTAAAGTGGCTCCTGGGAGGGGACAAAAGACTTCATTCCACTTTAGGCCCTTTTAGTAGTGTTTAATTTTTACCACACTTATTTTTAAAATAAGCAACAAAAAATACAGATTTGAAAAATGTGACATTGACACTATAATCCTACACATGGATGGCTAAGATTATTATGCTTTTCTTAAATAGAGAACTAAGTAACATGATATAGTTTGTATGTAATTTGGGACACTCCAGTTCAGAAAGGTCAGCAGTGTACTTCAAGTAGTAGGCACTCTTCAGATTAAGGGATGGGTACAACTGAAGAATATAAAAGGAAAGAGAGTGCTGTGGTAATAGCAGTCCTTTCCCCTCCCTTAATGTCTTCTGGCTAAAAACTTTTGAAATCTATTTAATGTAAACCTTGGCCGTGGAAAAGACTTAAAGGGAGAAAAATTAAAACTTACTAGTGGAAAGTTTAAAACTGCAACTTTCTTATTTGGAGAATCTTTGCCGAGATGATAGAATTGTGGATCCCCATCTGTGGAGATCTGGATTTAGAATATCTGGAGTGGGGCTCAGATATTTTGAACATTCCTAGTTGAAAACCACTCAGGGCAACTATAACAGTTTTGCTAATGTGAAAAACCAAAACCCTGCTAATACCATGTAAGAAGTGGATTTTTGGGTATCTCTTTCTTAGTCCCTGTGTGGAGTGGTGTGAACATTGCTGGTGTCCCTCTGAAGGATCTGAACCCAGATATAGGAACTTATAAAGATCCTGAGCAGTGGGAAAATGTCCATAAAAAAGTGGTTTCCAGGTAAGATGTTATTTTTACATTTTTCAGTACTTTAGAGTTGTGAGCTTGAACTCTGCTGTCAGGCTGAGATGATCCCCTTAAGTATATGTTGTTATATTTCCCATAGTTTTATTTGCACTTCTACTTTGTGTGTGATCATATTCACCAGACTGTAAGCTCTTCAAGTCAGGGCCTGATTCTGTGTTGTTCATTCCTGAGCCTAACCCAGTATCGAGCACATGGTGTAGGGGCTCACTTGGTGACTGACAATATATTTTTCGAACACTTACTCTTGGTGGTGGAACTGAGCATCTCTGTATTTTTAACTGTTTACTTTCACCACTGTGGCTGGGCATGGTAGTTCATGCTTATAATCTCAGCACTTTGGGAAGCACGTGGGAGGATCACTTGAGCCCAGGAGTATGAGACCAGCCTGGGCCACATAGGGAGACCCCGTCTCTACAAAATATATAAAAAAAAAATTAGCTGAGCATATGGTGCCTGCTTGAGCCCAGAAGATTGAGGCTGCAGCAAGCTCTGTTTGCACCACTACACTCCAGCAGAGACCCTCCCTCAAAAATGCATACATACAGCTGGGCATGGTGGCACATGCCTGTAATCCCAGCCATTTGGGAGACCAGGGTGGGCAGATCACTTGAGGTCAGGAGTTCGAGACCAGTCTGGCCAACATGGTGAAAATCCATCTCTACTAAAAATACAAAAATTAGCCATGCATGTTGGCACATGCTTGTAATCCCAGCTACTTGGGAGGCTGAGGCAGGAAGATCGCTTAAACCCAGGAGGTGCAGGTTGCAGTGAGCCAAGGTTGTGCCATTGCACTCTAGCCTGGGTGACAGAGCAAGACTTTAAAAAAAAAAAAAAAGGCATACATACTACAATATATTTTTCGAACACTTACTCTCGGTGGTGGAACTGAGCATCTCTCTACTTGTAACTCTGTTTACTTTCTACAAGAAATTACTACAAGAAATTTCTAGGAGAAATTGTTGATGGAGTCATTACAGTTTTGTGGCACTGTCAGATAGGTTGCTGCAAAGTGGAAGTTCAATGACAAGTATTTCTTCTAAACTAACTTCTTACATTTATGGTTTCTTTTAACTACAGTGGCTATGAGATGCTCAAAATGAAAGGTTATACTTCTTGGGGCATTAGCCTATCTGTAGCTGATTTAACAGAAAGTATCTTGAAGAATCTTAGGAGAGTGCATCCAGTTTCTACCCTAAGTAAGGTAGGACATTCATGTTTGAAAAATCATTAACTTCAACATAAAATAGGGGTAAAGAACATTTTTGAGGGGCTCTAGTTTTGAGTTTGATCTCATGGAAGCACCTCTCTTCCTGAAGTCTGTTCTTTGCTGTTGAAGAGCAGGGGAGACTGCGGAAAGAACCTATCTTTGTAAACCTTTGTTCTGGTCTAGTGTGACATTTCTTATTACATTTATTAGATAAAAGTAAGTGTTTTGCATCTTTTAACTGAGTGAACTGACTCTACCAGTATCTAGAAACACTGGGAACCATTGTGAGCAGACCTTGGTACCTTTGGAGTTGTTTTTACAGTTTCAATTATGTGCAATGAAGACTCTAGGAAAGAAGCACTAAACACAAAACAATTAGCAGTTAGTCTCCTCAGGAAAGGGGAGTTGGGGCATGGGTAAGAGCCCTCTGCTAGTCTCAGTGGGAGAGGTTATAAAACAAAACAGATGTAAATCACTGGAAATAAGATCACAGGAATTTTGAAGTGGTCCCAATAGGAAGTGGTATGGGGTAAGGAGATGAGGAAAGAAGGGTGGGCCCCAGCAAACATGGCAGGAAGCTAGGGCCTATGCGGAGAGATGGTGGATGAAACTGAACAATAAATACGTCTAATCATGTTTTAAATTATTGTCTTGGTACTCTGCCACAGTTCATACTACCAATCTGTTATTCATCCACCTCACAACTATTGCTTTTCATATTGCAGACCTTTGTTAAAAGTTAAAATAAAAATAATTTTAGGTCTTTACTTTCAGGGCCTCTATGGAATAAATGAAGAAATATTCCTTAGTGTCCCATGTATCCTGGGAGAGAATGGTATCGCAGACCTTATAAAAGTAAAACTGACCCTTGAAGAGGAGGCCTGCTTGCAAAAGAGTGCAGAAATACTTTGGGAAATTCAGAAGGAGCTCAAGCTTTAAAGTTGCTTAAAGTTACCATTCTGTAGATTGAAGATGAAATAGTTGCTATGGAATTGTATATGCCAAACTTTCAAATAAATTTGAATTCTAAAAGTTGGAAAAATAGAGGAAAGAGTGATCTATTTAGTGTAGCCTTCCAGCTTTTTTTTTTTTTTGGGGGGTCTATTCTGTCATCCAGGCTGGAGTGCAGTGGCACAATCACAGCTCACTGCAACCTCAACCTCCCAAGTCCAGGTAAGCCTCCCACCTCAGCCTCTAGGAGTAGGCGGGACCACATGAATGTGCCTCTATTCCTAGCTAATTTTTGTATTTTTTTTTTGTAGAGATGGGGTTTTGCCATGTTGTCCAAGCTGGTTTGAACTTCTAAAGTGCTGGGATTACAGGAGTGAGCCACTGTGCCTGGCCTTAGCTCTTTTAGTATCCAGATGATGGATGACACCTTTTTTTTAAGTGATGGCATGAAAGATGTTTTTGGTACCTCTCAGTACTTGCCTTGTCTGTATATATAATTGCCATCTGGTCCAAAATAATGTGTTTACTGTGTTATAAAAATCCTGATTCATCAGGTGATAGTAATTCTTCTCTTTGGCTTAATACCTGTGTCCATTTATATGCTACTTAATAAAAGCTGTAACTTCCTCTACAATGTAAAAATAAAAGTATACACATACACACACACACACACACACACACACACACACAGAGTAATCGCAATGTTCCTAACACTAGATAAAATCTTGATTTGACCTTGCTGGTTTTTACTCTGGTAACTTTTATGAGTGCATTTTAATTTTTCCAGAAAAGATCTTAAGCTGTAAACCCCTTGGTGACAACAAATTGGTCATTCGTCTCTTGGGAGTAGAGTGGGCTGCCTAATTATCTTAACATCCCAAACAGAAACACACTTTTTTTCCTCTTTTCTTTTTAACCTCATGACCCTTCTAGCACTCTCATTTTGATGGAGAACATTCTATTCTAGATGAGCACTGCAGGACATACAGCAGCTATATAGTTCATTGGGTGGTTGGAAACTGGCTACAGACTCACCATGAAGACTAAACTTTAAATGACAAAAGCAGGGAGGTAATGGTACACTGCGTCTTTCCCTTTAATCCTAAAGTTATCAGGTATATAGTAGTTTGAATCTGTCACTCTGCTCCTTTTTGATGAAAACAGTTATGGTTCAGTGAGGCCTAGAAAGGAAACAAACTTAATGGAGTTGGTAGAGTATTACCTTGGAACTTCCACAGATAAGTTACTCAAACCCTTCAATTTCAAATATTTCAAAATTTAGATTTCTATTTGGTATATTCCCCATATTCACTTTATATGCTGTAGAATAATTTTAAGATGGATTTTATGCTTTGTTTGCTAAATGAAAAGTTGGGCTTATTAAGGTTTCATGGATCTTTCCTAAAGTCTAATAAAGGAGAGAAAAATTATGCAACAAATTTTATTTAGCAGTCGCAACATTCAGCACAAAAAGTTTACAGAGGATAGAAAGTGCATTAATAAAAGCCAGTCTTTACCAAAGAAAACAGAAAATATATTATTGATTCAAAATATTTTACACTTGAATGATAAACTGCAATAACTTATTCTGGGCACCTACTGATAAGAGAAAGGAAGAGAAGAAAGTAAGAAGAGCTCAACCTCCAGCTGGTATCAGAGAAGTCAGTAGAGGTCACTGAGACCGGCAGTCTTTCTTGCTTTCTGCATTAATGCCCTCAGCTGGAACTGTTTACGGGACAGAAGACGTACATGCTGGGAGGGGGAAAAAGTTTCAATAGTTTAGAATGGCTTTGATTTAGGCTCAAGCATAAAGTATCAGACAATTTGTAACCTAGATGGGATCTAAGAACCTAACTCATGACCTGTCAACCTTTGGAATGAATACCTCATTACGTGTGGCTTTTAAACTTTATATAATAAAGGCTTACTCAAAGCATTACATTGCAGGATTACGGCTCAGGAGTTTGACCTACACTTTGAGACAACCAACATGCCAGGGAACCTTGTACTGTGATGTTAAAAGTTACCAAAAAATGTGGGTAACTATGGCTGGCCCCACTTGGCTAAAAGAGGGGAAAGGGCAAACCATGAGAAACATTAGGGTTGGCTTTTCTCCCTACTCTGGTGGCAAGCAGACAGCATCTTTCTCTTGCCTCTCTGTGTACATCTTTTCCTAAGCCATGCCACCCATGCAAGAGATTGCACAGAAAAAAAGTCCTCTTTTGGATTTCTGATTTGTATCCAACCATTCATATGGCTGCACCAGTTCCGAGGCATAGTTTGGCCATTCCTCCACAGTGAGAGGAGACAGGCAAGATCAGCACATGACCTGACCAGGCTCCAGCTGCAGCTGGATCAAATGTCCCAAGGGTGGCTGTTATTATCCCTAAAACCATGTCCAGACCAAAGTGACAACAGTAGCCAAACTTAGCTTCCTAGGTTTTCCTCTGTACAACAGCACTAAACTTGAGGCAACTTTCATTCAAGAGGGCTTGAAAGGGCAGCCCAATACTGTGAAGGGCTGTTTGATGGGGGAAAACTGGTCTAAAGTTATATAACTAAGAAAATTCACAGATAAAAAATCTGGCACAATCGGTGATCTCAATTTAGGTGGTATGACCTCAAAAAACCAATGGATCATGCCTCCTGATCCACTGAGGCACAGAATAATTACACTTTTTTTTTTTTTTTGAGACAGTCTTGCTCTGTCACCCAGGCTGGAGTGCAATGATGTAATAGCTCACTGCAATCTCCACCTCCCAGGTTCAAGTGAATCTCCTGCCGCAGCCTCTAGAGTAGTTGGGATTACAGGTGCCTACCACCACACCTGGCTAATTTTTATATTTTTAGTAGAGATGGGGCTTCGCCATGCTCGTCTCAAACTCCTGACCTCAGGTGATCTGCCCATCTCAGCCTCCCAAAGTGCTGGCATTATAGGCGTGAGCCATCGTGCCTGGCCAATTACACTCATCTTAATGCTGCCGCCTGGTGGTACAGAACTACAGCCACTAGCCCACTTTTCTTCCCCTGGTCAGACCAATCCTCAGTACTCTGTAGGTAAAAAGATGGTGAAAAACCCTACATCTCATTTACTGTCTTTTGGGGAGATACAGAATCTTAATTCACACTACAGAGAAACTCTTCGTTTGTGGTTTGCAAGGTCAGTGCCTCTACACCCCAAGTTAAATCTTGCAAAGTAAAATGAAGACATACCTTCAGGAAGACATCCAGGTCTATCACTCCCCTCCTCAAAGCTTCTCCCAAGTAAAAGATAGTGTCTTCAATAGCATTTTCCTCTGCATACAAATTCAGGATCTGTTTGTATAAGGGAGCTGTGGGAATGATAACTTCATCGATATCATTGTTTTCAGACTGATTTTCCATTTTCTCCAGCGCAGAACTGAGTTCTTCATCCTTCTTTTTCAAAAGTTCTATGTTTTTATCAACCTCAGCCTGAAAACACAACAGTCCGAGCATTATTAATTGTACATAACGATCCACTTGTCAGACATCTACAACACTTCACAGGAAAAGACAGACTAATAACCATGTTTAAACAACTCATGGATGAGAATAACATTTCAAATAACACCCTGGTCAAAGGTAGAGGAAAAGATGTAATCTACTATCCTGAGTGAAATACAGTAATGATGGAGATATCCTGAGCTGAGAGCACTTCCAGTGACAGTAACAAGCTTGTCACTTGTCAGTATCACAAATGATACAAAGTAAACCATCAGACAAGATACTTTCCAAGATTCCTTTACATAGAAAATCAAAAGGGGTTTTTCTTCCCCACAAATGGGAATCTGCCATAGGAGAGTAACTTTCCCCAGTCTATGAAGAGGATTCCATGCGGAAGCCCAAATGTCTGCATTCTAATCACAAAGTATCGCATGCAGATGGCAGTTGTAGGCTCTGAGTTGTATTGCTGTCACTTTCCTGAATTCTAAAAATTGGCTACTTTGAAGCTCACTTTACAATCCAGAACCACTTTGTAAGGCTAATGTGTACATACAAATCACTTTCCACAAAGCCCTCAACTTCCTAAGAATTCTTTACTCTTACATCAGAAACGCACGTTTAGTTAAATAAATTCTCCCTCATGGGGTTGAAAATGAGAGTGAAGCTGGCACTTCAATTATGCTGATGCCTTCACTTTATCATTATTAAGCAAAGCCACGGGACTGACTGACACATGGATTCTCCAAGGCACAGATGTCTGCTATAAATATGAGTAAGCTTAGAAAGCTGAAGGATGCATATGCTATGTTTACATGTAGCTCTTTAGCCAACCAAATATCTCTGGATTATTAAGTAAGTTCCCTAAAGATACTTTTAAAAATAGCTCACACAATCTTTGGAAACAATAAAATAATACTGTCCTTTTAAGTCTGCACCTAAGATGTGCAGATCTTTATCATGGCTTAGAACTCTCTAAACTTATTTCCTGGTAACTGGCAACATCAAGCACTCAAACAGTCCTCCTTTGGGTTAAAACATCATTTCCTAGGGGAAAGGTGTAATATGGTTTGGCTGTGTCCTCACCCAAATGTCAACTTGAACTGTATCTCCCAGAAAGGGACCTGTGTATCGGGGGCAGGTAATTGACGGGGCTAGTCTTTCCTGTGCTAGTCTTGTGATACTGTGTAAGTCTCACAAGATCTGATGGGTTTATCAGGGGTTTCTGCTTTTGCTTCCTCCTCATTTTCTCTTGCTGCCACCATGTAAGAAGTGCCTTTTGGCCGGGTGCGGTGGTTCCTGCCTGTAATCCCAACACTTTGGGAGGCCAAGGTGGGTGGATCACCTGTGGTCAGGAGTTTGAGACTAGCCTGGCCAACATGGTGAAACCCTGTCTCTACTGAAAATACAAAAATTAGCTGGGCATGGTGTTGGGTGTTTGTAATCCCAGCTACTCAGGAGTAGAGAATTGCTACTCCTGAGGCAGGAGAATTGCTTGAACCCAGGGGGCAGAAGTTGCAACGAGCTGAGATCATGCCACTTCACTCTAGCCTGGGCAAAAGAGCGAGACTATCTCAAAAAAGAAAAAAAGAGAATGTCTTTTGCCTCCCACCATGATTCTGAGGCCTCCCCAGCCATGTGGAACTGTAGGTCCAATTAAACCTATTTTCTTCCCAGTCTCAGATATGTCTTTGTCAGCAGCGTGAGAACGGACTAATAAGGTGCAAATAAAATGCTCTAAATATGATTCCCCTCCCAACTAAAGACCAAATGCCAAACACAGGCTCCACTGTAAACAATGCTAGTAAAAAAATTACCTTCCAATATATAAAGGTGCCTATAATTTTCTGAACTCCTCCTATGCCCACAACATTCAGGGTATATATAGAACACTTTGCCATGGCTACAATTCAATCCAAAAATTTTAAGTCTTTAATGAGTTACTTACTACTTCTTGATCTAAACGGGTAACCATCTCTTCCAGTTTCTGGTGACCCTTTTTCAGGTCTTCCTCTGTTCGTTTCAAGGCATTCAGCTCTGCCTGGGCACGATCCATTTCCTCCTTCATCCGCCATCTCAGTTTGTCACTGACCGCTGAGATGAGAGAGGCTCGAATGGTGTCCTCGCTGATTGTGCCGTCCCTACTGGGACCTGCAGGAAACAGAAGCAGAGACACTTGCTTACTTCCCTAGTTCCTTCTTATTCCTCTCACAGGAACCTTCAGAAAAGAGGGCAATATGAACCGACACTTTCAAAATGTGAGGAAAGAAAAAAATTATGTTACCAATTTCATCAGAAGGAATGTAAAAATCTGAGTTGATTCAGAAATTCTTGCTCTGCAAGAGGTAACTATTAATCCATGTTAAACCCAGTTTCCCTATTCATAGCCCAAACAATTAGCTATTTTCTCAGTGAGACGGAGGCTAGGTTCCTACCAATTACAATTATTCCTAAATCACCAACAAATGGGACAATAATTTCTACCAAGGAAAAACATTTGATGCAGGCCAAGTCCAACATCATGCTTCACTGCTAAGTTGAAGGAAACAGGTGCCCACTGTAGCAGCCAATGAGAGGACTAAGAATGGGCAGTTTCCCTAAATGAATGTACAGGTTAATAAGGCTCCCCTCTGTAAGACTTTTACTCCTTCACCCTGTCCTTTATAGAACAGATGAACAAAAAAGAATGACATCCAAAAAATTCAACAGTTGATAAACTGTTTATTCCTAGATTACTATTCTATTCCAAATGTCCCTTCCTGACACTGATTAGTATATTACATAATTTCCACGCATACTTCAGATCAAATAAACATCCCCTGGATATTTTCTTCAAAAAGGTCCCCTTTTTAATATACTGGGTATTCTTTATGACTATCAATGTTCTTCTGTTATTGTCCTAAATTAGCAAATGTGTAAGTGGCAGTTTGACTTAATTATGTTTGATTATAAAATACTATGTGAGGATACAAGTATATTTAACCTAAATTGCCTTTATTCTTTTTTTTTTTGAGATGGAGTCTTGTTCTGTCACCCAGGCTGGAATGCAGTGGCACTATCTTGGGTCACTGCAACCTCTGCCTCCCAGGTTCAAGCAATTCTCCTGCCTCAGCCTCCTAGGTATCTGGGATTAAAGGTGCACACCATGATGCCCGGCTAATTTTTGTATTTTTAGTAGAGGTAGGGTTTCACCACGTTGTCCAGACTGGTCTCGAACTCCTGACCTCAAATGATCCACCCACCTCGCCTCCCAAAGTGCTGGGTTTATAGGCTTGAGCCACTGTGCCTGGCCTTAATTCCTTCTTAACTCCTGAAGTTCTCTTTACCAACTTCCCACAAAGGCAAAAATCTTCAACACATCTCCAAAGAAGACTGAAACCATTACTGGGAGCCTCCCACTCTTATTCTCCCTCTTTCTTTTAGAACAAGAATCCTAATCCCTTTATTTACATGCCGGACTCCTCACTGTTCAAAAGTACAAACTTCCCTTTCTCAGAAAGACAGCTTGCTTTCCTCCAGATCCTTTCGAAGGACCAGATGCTTTTAAGCTTGTACCTACTTCTCCTAATTCCAATGAGTCTAAGTGCAACAACTATCTTTTCTATTACGCCTTTGTTCTTATTCTCTGGTTATGCTCTGCTCTTAGCTAAGTTAAGGCCCATTTATTCACTTCTCTTACCAGCCCCAAACCTTGGGTCATCTTTGAAACCCTGTTCTCTCTGGTGTTTACATCCTCTGAGGTCAAGTCCAGTCTTAGCCAACATTATTCTCTAATTCATGCACATTCTCAATGGGAGTGATATCCCTCAACAAGAGGGTGAAAATTGGTTCAAGGTGGAATAAAAAGTCTAGTTCTTCTTATGTATAAAGCAGAGATATCCATACTGTACATAAACAGATATATAGTTTAATCTGTGGTATTAACATTTGTTGGGGGTACGAATTACTAGGGGAAAAAAGTCTAAAAATCTCCCTTGGAGAGTGATAATAGTAATAAAAAAAGGTTAGGAAACACTGCTGAACTCTATCCGTGATCTTGTTTTTCAACTAGATGTTTTGTTGATATTGTAAAGTTCTGCTTGCTGGCCTTGTCACCACCATCCCAATCTTTTTTTTTTTTTTTTTTTTTTGAGACAGAGTCTTGCTCTGTTGCCCAGGCTAGAGTGTAGTGGCATGATTTGGGCTCACTGCAACCTCTGTCTCTCTGGTTCAAGTGATTCTCCTGCCTTAGCCTCCCAAGTAGCTGGGATATAGGTGTGTGCCACCACACCTAATTTTTGTATTTTTAATAGAGACAGGGATTCACCATGTTGGCCAGGCTGGTCTCAAACTCCTGACCTCAAGTGATCTGCCTGCTTCATCCTCCCAAAGTGCTGGGATTACAGGTGTGAGCCACTCCACCCGACCTCATCCCCATCTCATTCTTAAACTATGGTCCACATCATCTACATTTAAATTAAGCTAAACACAACCTATGAAAAGCAAACTTCCTGAAGGCCTGGTCAATTACCTGAGTCCTCTAATTACCTGATAGATGATCCTACTTTTTACCAAAACCATCAACAACATCTGTCAAAAAACTCTGTCTAAGCCATTCTAAACAAAAGAGTTTAATGCTCTTGAATATCAGATCCTGTCTTCTCTCCACCATTAAATTATGGTGAAAGCTAATCTTTGCCAATGATTTTCCTAAATTAACCATAATTAATTCCCAAAACAACAGCACAACAACTAGAATCTGCTCTCTCTTAACAGTTCTCACTACATTTATCCGTTTAAAAACCTATTTTCTGAAGGAAAGGATTCTATAATCTAAATGTTAAGAGTGGCAAACTTGCTAAATGATCTCTTGAAACCAAGAGAATTGGTTATCTTCTAGGAGTCCTAGAGAAAAGCAATCTTAAGGGCTTAGATGGTTAGAAGTTCTTAGTTTGTGCTTTTTTGGAAATGTATCTTCTGCTGGAATGTAGAAGGTAATTATTAAAATCATTTATAAATATAAAAGTGCTCCAAAATAAATGGCAAGGTGCTATTAAACCAAATCAAAGAACTCAAAGGTATCTCTACCACCTGAAAACCAGAAAAGTGAACCGTAAAGCTCTACTGCTTTGAAGGCAGGTGGTTGGAGAGTGCTGAAAAGTCATCAACATAGTAAAATATTTAAAATTATGGATTTCAATAACAGCGATAGATAGGGGTGGGTCCCCAGTGAAACCCCACCTTCAGGCCAAAAACAGCCTGAGGGCTGAAAGATTAGACTGCTGGTCCCAGATGAAACCCCCAACCTAGAGTGAGAACCTCTATTCCTGTTTGCCCACCCTTTCCCATTGATTCTTTCTAAATAATGCCTTTTAACCAATTGAATGTTGCCTTTTGTAGTACCACCTATGGCCTGCACTTCCCCTATTGTGAGCCCTTAAGAAGCCGCAGGACTCAGCTACATAGAGGGGACCTTCCCACCTTTGGGTAGGGGAACCACCCCTGCGTCCCCTCATTTCATCACTCAATAAAACTCCCCGTCTTGCTCACTCTCTGATTGTCAGGCGCAGGACCAGAACTCTTTAAAGCCAGGCTTGCTCACCAAGGTGCTCACTAATGTCTCTCATCCCTGCCCAGACATAGCATTAAACACTGAACGAAAGACAGATATAGAATTCAAAAAGGAAAAAAGAAAGAAAGCAGAGGGACAGAAATTGAGAGAGGAGGGAAGTGAAAATCAAAGTCAACAGTCAAAAAGGATGGTGGGAAAGAAGGTTTAGATTTCAAAATTTGAAAGTCCCAAGCTAGGAAGAACCTGAAAACTGAGTACTCCTCAAGTGAAAGGCGATCTCTACAGAACATCATTCATTTTACTTTGGACATTAGGTCTCGCTATGTTGCCCAGGCTGGAGTGCAGTTATTCACAAGTGCACCCAAAGGACACCGCAGCCTTAAACTCCTAGGCTCAGACGATCCTCCTACCTCAGCCTCCCAAGTAGCTGGAACTATATGCACACACCACCACATAGGACACAGAATATTCTTAAAGGTATCATCCAGGAAACAGATAAGGTCATTCATAAAACACACAGCTTTTCTTCTTTAGCTTAGTGTTAACAATGAACATAGATTCCACTACTGAAGCACAAGTTGCAGATCAGTAATATAGTGAACATATTACAATAGGAAAGGGTAAGGTTTAGTCAGGTGTGTTATATGAGCACTGAACTTTTCAAGGTATCATCACCCAGTTATCTGCCATGAGGAATTTCAATTTCAAGATTCGAGTTTCCTTAGAGGAAGACACCGTGGATATTTCTAATCATGAACTTTTGAGTGGCAACAGCCCAAACAGGTCAAGTGTCTTTAAGCTCCAAACAACAGGCAGCATTACTGTGAATTACCATTAAATTCAAATACCAAATGATGTGTGTCTCACTCGAAGTTCCAGCATCACAATATAATTGTAGGGTCCAGTCCTATAGGGTCCTGCAAGACCCTCTCTACTGGTGCAGAGATAAGAAACTGTGGAAATAAAGACACAAGACACCGAGATTGAGAGTTTGGGTGCCCAGGGATCTACTGCCAACCAAAGCGTGGTGTCTGGCAGTGGCCCCGAGTGCCTTGACACTCTGACTTATATTGGGTATAAAGCAGGGGGCAGGGTAGGTAGGGCAAGTCATTGGTGGTCAGTGATAGGGTCAAGTAAATCACGTGACTTGGAGATAGGGGCCTAGGACTTTCAAGTAGCCGAGGCGAGGGAAGGAGCATAATGCGTCAGTACTTTTTCCATACTTGTCAAGAAAGAACAAAGACATTAAGATTTATGTTACGTTTATTGATTCTATCTTCTAAGAAAAGAAGAACCAGGTGCAGAAGCAGAACATGAAAGTAGACATGGAACATGACGGCTGAAGCACAGCATCACATAGAGACAATTAAGCCCCCAGATGTCTGGGGGCCGTCAGGCTTACCACAAGAGCTTGGGGGAGTGGAGTTTTCTCCTAACTTCTCTGAGGAAGGAGACATCTCGGACGTCTCCTTCCATAGCTTGCTAATCAGCGAGCGCTTTCCCAGCCCTGGCGCTGCCACACAGCCAAGGTGCCCTCCAGCAGCCCTTACACAGGTGTGACAGAGGGCTTAGAGCATCTTGCCTTAGGGTCACTTCTTTC